TGACGTCACCCCTCCCTTTGTGACGTCATCTCCCGCGCCCTCCACGAAGCTCCTGGATTAGAACTGGCCCTATTACACTACTCACACTCAAACACAAGCTAAGCGAATATTTATACACCACACAATTAGACGTCACACTCACATCACACACACAAATTTTCAGCGCTAAAGTCACAAGTTTCATTCATACTACATACACACTCAAACACACACTTAAGCACAAAAACACCATCTGTACTATATCCACACACACAACATACACACACATTTTAAAATCTTATGCTCAAGGTCTAAGTTGTAGGAGGAAAGACTGCGCATGCGCAAGCGGTCCTACTTCGCAGCGGCGGAGTAGACGCCCGACGAACAAAAAGGCGCGCAGCGCCAAGCTAGTCAATAGAATCGCAACGTTCGTAGCGTACAGACGCATTGTAGCATACGGATATAAAAAGTTTTTGAAATACTCGTTAAACAAAGACCGTGCATGTTAATTGTGTACAGTAAACAATATACTATAAGTGTAGTCGTACTAGTAAAGTTGATACGAGAAAATATAAGTTATTTGTGTAACAGAAACACTGTGTGTATTATTAACTTTGAACACCCGATCCCGAGTAAAGCGTCGTCAACGTTCCAAGGACAGACACCGGACAAAATTGAGGATAGACGCAGATCAACTACCTTGGTACTTGTGTAGGCGAAAGTACCTGGTGACCGTGACAAGTCAGGCGTAAAACGTGAGTACCCGGCCAAATTTAATTCTAACCTCGGTCACAACCTAACTTAACCTAACCTTTTTTTTTATTGTTACCTTTGGGAAAGTTGTTATTGTGTCCCAACACCGGGACTGGCCCTGGAGCATTGCTTCGGTGTTGGGATTCTCTAGTGGGCCTGGTGTTCGGCCCATCCGTTGTCCAGGCCAGGGAGTTGGACGTACTCCTGGCAGAGGTTAGGCTGGCCAGAAATCAAACTGAAAGTGCTACGCGTTTACGATTACCAACCAAATTGCTCACTGCTCTCACTATCATGGAATGAGGTTCTTAGAACTTCAGACCTAACTCTCACTGCGCTATCATTTGTTGTTGTTAAAACACAAAGGGAGATTTAAGTTTTTCCGTCGCTGTCAAGGTCAGACGGCTGACCTCGGGGTTGACGTTCCCGGGCGTGTTCCGTTTGACCACAGTACGATTCGACACCGCTCGATTCGACACAGATTTATTCGACACCAAATTATTCGACACCGTACGATTC